GCATCTTGATTCGATCGATAAAAGACAAAGCGAAAAACGAAACTTCAACTGCGACAAATTAGCTAAATAAATTGGCGAAGAATATTAGTCTCAACAGCTTAACAAATGAAAGATATTCAATTCGAATTCAATTGTCGCGAAATGATACAGAAGCAAAATCTCTCTTCCATTCCTCATCTAATCTCTTCCATCCCTCAATCTTTTTCTGTGTTTCCATTAATTAGTCGTAGATGAAATAGCTATGCTAATAAATATTACCGTTGATTAGCATCCTTCAAGTGTTGCCGCTCTTCACCGAGAAACCATTCAGCATCATTTCGTTCCTTGTTGACACGTACGAGATCAGCGTCTTTCTGCTCCAGAGCTTCTCTCAGTTTAGCCATTGTCGCTTCATGTTCACTAATTGTTTGATAAATTAAAACTGCGTTTGAAATGGAAACCCAATTTGAATACTATCAGAATGTTGAAAACGCGGAAGTTTTGAAGTTCAGATGTAATCAAAACAAGCATACACACATATCATGGTACTTGAGTTAAAAGATATCATTTTCAGTTAAATGCCTTAATCTCTAGATGGAAGTAATAATCTAGTTGATCTCGTAAGTCTACACAAAGAGGACTACCAGTGGGTTAATTTGGGTCATACTAAAAGCACAAATGGAAAAGTCATTGTAATTTTATTGACTTCATCTCCACTGAAAAAAATTCAAATTAATCGAATAAATTATTTCAAACTATTTCAAATCACATTTGCAACTATAAATGGAAAAATCACAAAGTTTAAAAGTCATAACCTTAACTGAATTATACTTTAATAAAAATTGAGAAATTCGAATGATTAAATGATTGGTATAGAAAGCTAACATTATCAATTGGCTGTCAGCATAAGTCTGCGATGCTGCCGCTGCCATTTCTTTCTCTGCATCGAGCAACCTAGTCTCCAATTCGAATATTTTTTCAAATAGCTGCAAAATTTTTTGAAGAATTCAGATAATCCGTTTTCGTTACCACTTTAATTGATGATAATATCCATAAGTATGAGAATGAATTGTAAGTTACCTTGTTCTTATCACTCTCTATCGGTTCTTGCTTGTCCTTATCAATTTCCACCGGTTCAGATCCAACTAATGTAATGTCGGCTTTATCATACTTTTCTTTTGTAATTTCTGGATGCTTTTCAAAAAGTGAATTTAAAATTTGCTCCTTTTCGGCCAATTTTTTAGCCAGATCATTAGCTCTGCAATTTATGGTTACTAGGAAAGTTCATCAGGTAGTTTTACCTTTTGACTTATCAGACGAATTTGGTATCATTTTAGCCTACAAATTATAATTATTCGCATGTCGAAAAAAAGAAGACTACTACAGTCATTTTTAACCTTTATTATTTGGTATCATATCAAACGGATCAATTATGTCACCTTTCATCACCACTGCATAGCTTCATTGAAATTAATATTGCGAAATTAATTTCATGCTTAGGCTTATCGAAACTTTACCTGGTGTTAGCATCTTCAAGCCATTGACAATGTTCGCCAAGTTTCCATACCATTTCATCTCGTTGTTTTATAATTTCATTAATCTCATCATTCTTATTACTAACTTCATAGCGCAAATTTTCAATTGTAGCATTCAATTTGCTGCAACATAGACTGATAAGAGACTGATAAGTGATATGAAGTTTGCCAAGTTCACTTTCAAACCTTTAAAAAATAAGTTGACTTCCCTGTTTCAAATCATTTTAAATCTTTTACTTTCCCATAAACAACGATATTCTTATTTTTCGTTCGTTTTCATTTCTTTTCCTTTTTACTTGTAGAGGGAAATTAAAATTAGATTAATTGATTTCGACTATTGATCAATCGATGAACAAGAAGCAATAGAAAGACGGTTAATTAGACAAGCAGGTTTTCCTAGAGTTACTGAATGTCTTCCCAAATATGATAAATACAATACACTGCTAGTTAAACTGATAGCGTGAATGATTAAATCCAATAAAATTATTCCTAGTTCTGAAATAAATCGGTGTAATACTTTTAAATATTTCGGAATAAAAAAAATCAAATCCAGAAAAAAATTGAGACTTAAAAAAAAGAAAAAAGAGAAATCAAATCTAAAAAAAAAATTGAACAGTAATAACTAAAAGAAATGCTCAAAACAAACTGAAAAGCTTACCTAATGTCACCATTTTGTGATATTTTAGCCAAGTCAGATTTAAGACAATCATTTTCACATCGTAATTCATCAATTTCTGCATTCTTCGCCACAACGATACCATCTAACCAGCTTACTCTTCAATAGATTATTGTCATCAAACTGATCCCAAGCAATATCAAATACAACAGATCAAAAGACCAGAAGGGAAGATCTAGATCATTAAAAAGAAAAAAAGAAGCACATATTCCGCTATCTAAGTAAACAGGTATTACACCAAATCTCTGCTGTTTCTTTCTGTAGAATCCTAAAACATCCAAAAGAGACATTACCTATCCTTGCAATCCTGAAGCCACTGTCGATGCTCACCGAGACTCCATTCCTGATCGTTCTTCTGCTGGACAAGATCATCAATGCATTCATTTTTATCTTTCAGAAGTTCTCGCAGATTTTCATTTTCAGTTTTCAGACTGCTGAAAAACGACGAAGAGAAAATATACGAATTTATCATTTTTAGCGCGTGTTTGTATATGCGTGAGGCAACACATCGTTCCATGAAACGAAGAAAAGTGTCTCAAAATTTTTTACGTTAGACATGTAAAAAAGTCTTATGCATTGCAATATCAATGACCATTATGTACAGAAAAATTAATTGACAAACAAGCCTTTAATTAATCTATCGATTTATTTACCTACTCGTGTTGAAGAAAATAAGTTAATTTCTGGTACGAAAAACCTTTATATTTGAATTTTTTGACTAATGAATCTTATTGAAACAAAAAATTTATATTGACTAACATTAAATCATCCAATTTTGGATGTTCAGCTTGTGCTTGTTCAGCATTTTGAAGTTTAGCCATTAGTTGTTCAACTGATATCTGCCCAATTTACAAAGAATAATTAAAACTAAGGAGAAAATTGCTTAGAGAATTGTGAAGCTTCGATCAACTTTACGACTACATAATTAATTTACAAATATAACTTAGCATAGGACAAACATTCTGTTAACGATACTTTCAAAAATCGACAAATCTTCAAAAAAATCGGAACAGTAATAATTATGGCATACTTAAATTAATAATTATTTCCTCCATTTTTTATTCTTCCAAAACAGAAGTAAAAAACATATGGCATTTTAATTAATTAAAGTTGAACTCAAAAGACCTGACTTACTTCCGTCTTCTCTTGTTGCATTTCTTTTTTCACCGCCTCAAGAGCCGCCTTGAGATCCAGAACTACCTTTTTCGACAATTCATCTATTTCATTATGCAATTCTTTGATCATCGTATCTTTTACTATCTCAGACTCTTTAAATTCAGCAATTCTGAAATTTAGGGAAAATAAAGCGTTTGTATCTCATCAAATGTCAAAATTAATAAAAAAAAGCATGAGCACTAATTAAAAGAAGAAAAAAACACTTCGATAAAAGATAACCTTTCATTAGCATTCTGCAGCCACTGACGATGTTCTCCTAGGCTCCATTCAGTATCATTCTTGGCTTTCTCGAGATTCGCAATACAATCACTTTTGGCGCTAAATTGGCTATTTAAAACATCAATTGTTTCAAGACAATTGCTGAAATTCCTGTACTGTCAGATGTGAAATGATTGCTAAATTTATCCAGAATTTTCAAATATAATCGGGAAATTTGAAAATAAATTTGAAGAACTTGAATTTGTAAATGGGCCTGTTTAACTGTTCGCATGTGCAAGAACTGAAAAATGTTATGCTTACGATTGGACACTACCTAATATCAGCATTTTGATTCTCGATTTCTTGTCTCAATTGCTTGATACAATCATCGCTTTTGCAAAGTTCCTTCGTCAGATCTTCTATCCTGAATTGCATATCTGCTTAGTTTAAATAAAAATTCCTAGCAAAAAGCATTCATATCACTTTGATGAATCCATTCAAATATGCAAAAAATTTGAAAAATTCAAATTAAAACAGAAGTCGATCACAGATAAGCGATAGTCAATAAAAGAGTTTGATAGAAGGAATATTAATCAAATATTAGTGTGTAATAAATGAAATAAACAACGAAAGCTAAAGAATTATATCTGTTTAAATTATCCGAAGTTAATTTGCACATCAAAAACTTAGAACTAGCAAGTTACGCATCTTATCAATTATCTCCTTATCATAACTATCAATTGTTTATATTATCAAGCATAAAGTTTTCTGCAATTTCATACGGTCCAATTTCTTTTTTCGCGAGGTGTAATCAAATTTTAAAACAACTACCAATAAAAGCAGAAGTTAAAATTGCAGTATGTTGCAGTATGATAATCGTACTACCAACTGAAAGACTTTTCCGTCTACTCTATAAAATACTACCATTTTTTTTTTTTTTGCCGAATGATACAAATCATTGACTAATAGGATCAGTTTGTGATTATTATTTCTGCAATATTATTACTCATATCCGACATATCAATGCAATCAACTTATCATCGGATAGAATACTAGATTAACTGACTGAACAATTATAGGTACATCAATCTGACATCGAAATAATATTTGTAGAGCCAATGACTAAAAGCTAAACAGAACAAAATAAAAGCTATATGCAAATGGATTAAATGAAATTGAATTAATTGAAATGATAAGGAAATATTAATAAAAATTTTACCTATTGGTAGAATCATTAAGCCATTGGCGATGTTCGCCCAAACTCCATTCCGTATCGTTGCATTGTTTCGATAAAGTTTTGATGTACTCATTTTTAGCATTTAATTCATTTTGTAAACAATCAACCATTGAATTAAGCTCACTTAAAAAAAAAAACAACATTAATTTTCTTAAGATATTGTCGTTAAGTATATTGTCGGATTACCAAAATTAAAATCACATTTAAATCAAATTTCCACAATATCTACCAAATAGGATGATGAAATCCTGTAAAGTAAATTAAAGGCAATAAGGAGGATATAAGCTAACAATGGAGGAAATATCATAAAGACATCACATTTGTTGTACAATGGACCATCATGACAAGAGACAATCATATATGCCTCCTCCATGATAACCCCCAATGGAGCTTCAAAGTACATATAAGTTTTTACAATCAACCAGAATATCTATCCGTCACCATTGGACAATAAAGTTACAAATCCTTTCCTTCCGTTAAATACCTTTACTGCAATATATCTCCAATTCAACGAAGGACGAACTCTTATATCTCAATCATTACACAACCTATCAACAAACCCACAATCAGTTATTATCAAAGATAACGACAACGAATTTGTTAGTTGATTATACTGCTTGTTTATTGTATAACTCATTTATCACTGCTTATCAATTTGTCGCGTACTTTATACTTAATATATATATATATATTTTTTTGCTCTTGTTAATTAGTAATATTGTGCAACAGCAGTATTATATCCCGACTAAGCCTATATCGTTGACAAACGAAATCAATGAATTAGCTTTCCCGACATATATCAATAATTAGCATTATATTGGAAATCGCAATCTTAATATAATTCGAATTTAACCTTTCACATATTTTCAATTGCTGAAAGAATTATTTTTCGTATATCTTTAATGAATAACGAAACATTGAAATAATTTACTTCATTTTATCTTGGCTTGGAGTTTCAGTAAGTGCTTTCTCAGCATCTTGAAGTTTTACACGCAAAGCAGCCAATTCATTCTGTAAAAGTATGAACAATTCAAAATTTTAATCAAAATTTAAAAATTTAAGTCAGCAATTAGAGAAGACAAAATGTAAAACAATTTGTCCATTTGAACGAAAATTAAAATTTCTAAATTTGTAATATTGGGATGAAAATTTGCAGCTTAAATGATATCATTTTAACCCTCCTATCTTACAACTTTGAAAATGAAAACGTTAGAATTATAAGATCGTAATGAAACATAACGTTCCTCATTGTGCTTCTTCAGCTCTTCGATGAAATAATTCTTTTCATTCAAAACAGATTCCAATTCGTTGATCCTAAAAATTTACTTATTTTTTTAAAAAGTAAATCCGAAAAATTTATTCTTTCCCCCAATTTAAATGTTAGTTATAGAAGATCCAAAAGACTATTTTATTTCATTCGAGGAATGATTTTTCATTGGTTTAATTCATTTTATCATTTTGAATGTCCATTTAAATTTTTAATTACTAAATAATATTCAATGATAGAAATCATTTAGTTGAAATGGTCCAAAATTTAATGGGAAAATAAGAAGAGAAAATGATTTTGAGGACTTTCTGTGCAATTATACATTCAAAATAAGAAATTTGAGGGTCGAAATTCTGAAACTCTTCAAAAGCGCACCGAATAAATTAGTTAAATATCAGATCGGAAACTTTAATTATTATTAGTATTTAAATTGCTAAAATCATTGATAATTTTCTATGCTTTGATTCAAGAATTTATATCAATCCAAAAATTTGGTAATAATTCAACCATTCACTAAACGGAAGGATTGCATTTCAAAGAGTATGTTATGATTGATATCTCTCTTAGCGAAAATTTGATAATCAACCTGTTATTGGCATTCTTTAACAGTTGCTGTTGTTCACCAACATTCCATTCAGCATCATTTTTCTGCTTTAACATATAATTAAGTTGCTCATCCTTATCACCAATTTCTTTCTGTAGGCTATCAATAGCCTTCTTTGAAGTTCTAAATTTGAATTAATAATGAGCCAATTTATTTATCATATTGTGATAACCAATAAAGAAACTTTGTATTAAACCAATTTTCAGCATTTCTTTTTTTTCGTTGAAAAAAAAATGCAAAAAAATTTGAAAAAAAATGAAGGTTTCTGAATAGTTGAAGAATGCTCCAAATATATGAAAGTTTCTGTTGTCTTCTGCGCATAAAAATCTAATGACAGGAAAAATATTTCAGAACTAGATGAATTCAAATTGATTAAATTTTAGAGAAACTGATTAAATTTTCGAACTCAAATTTCCCTAGATTTAAGAAAATTTTAGAACTCAATTTTCCTCCCTAAATCTGATTAAATTTTAATAAAGCATAAAGTAGTTTCCAAAATATGACAATTTTTTTTCCAAGAAGCACCTGATATTACTGTTTAATTTTTCAATCTCTTCTCGTAAGCTATCATTTTCTTGACCAATCATTTGCAACTTATTTTCAAGTTCATCAATCCTAAAAAAAATTATTAAAAATTAATTTAGTAGGATAAGATAAGATAGAAGTGTACAGTTTCCTTCTTTTCTTCAACTTCCTTAATTATGTTTGTGAGAAACATTTGATTCATAAATGGATCAACAAAAAGTTCAAAGATTAAAGAGGTAAATTTCAGTTTCCTCAAATACTACCATTCATTTTAATGTATTTTATGCTAATTTTTCACCATAATTAAAAGATTTAACAATATAAAATGATTGTCAAATCAAAATTCAAACTTATTCTTTGAATCTGCGAGCCATTGGCGATGTTCACCTAAACTCCATTCGGTATCCATCCTCTTCTGTTCATTACTTATGGCATTCTGGTTTGTTTCATTCAATTCATGCAATAATTCATCGATTCTCAAACGGAATGAACTGAAATATTAAATTTTATCAATGTAAGGAATTCATTTTGAAATATTTCATTGCAAAAATAAAATTTAAACTGAAACCAACTTAAGTTCGTTTTGCTTTTCATTGAAATCTTTTTCCATTTGTATTATTTGTTGATCTTTTTCCTGTATTTCTTTCTTCAAATCTTCCATCTTTGGCTGAAAAATATTTTAAGAAATTTTTTGCCATTAAAATTCATGGCAAAAATTAAATTATTTTAGGATGAAAAGAATTTGCATAGAATTATTGAAATGGTACTTCAATTTCATAAAGCTTTGCTATTGCTGCATCTTTATCATTTTTAAATTTTTGCGTGGCATTTTCCAGTTCTTTGATCCTATAAAAATACACAAATTAATTTACAATTCCCTTTTTGAATAATTGATTTCTAACCTTGTGATTTGATAACCGACTCTCTCTGGTGTTTACATTTTCATTCGTTTGTTGTTTGCTTTCTTAGAATGATTGGCTAACAAGTTAACTTAATATGTATTTCTCCAACATTAATTATGAATCTAATTAATTTCTTCCTTTTTCTTCTAATTTACCTTCTCTTGAACTGTTCTATAAAAGTTAAGTCAGTTTTATTTTTCGGTTCAATTGAATCATTGAAATGATCATCGTCCACATCGAAAATATCCTCTTCCAAATCTTCCAACAACCATTTAACTTTCCTACAAATCCAAATAAAAATTGAGAAATTTCAAAAGTAACAACACTTTCATGTTTTTAAACTTAATAGTTTTCCAATTCTATTAGCAAAAAAAAATTAAAGAAGTACACTTTCACTTTTATTTCAGTATAAATGAATAAAAAGCGATATTCCGGAAAAGGAAATTCGAAACTAATTTTGTACTCATTCACTAGAAATAAAATGGAATTAGCATAATCATTTCAAACTGAAGTTCAAATAAAACGAGTATGAATGAAGTTTTGAACAAAAATGTCCGGAATGTAATCCTATCTCTGTACCGTAAATCCAATTATTATTATTATAACATCTTTTTTTTTCTGTTAAACTTGTTAAATTCGAATTTATCGAATTTTTTTGACAATAAAAGTTTTAGTTATTATCATATCAAAAAACCATTTTAATTGTCATATCAGAAACAAAGTCATTTTGGAACAGAATATTTTCTAAGGTAATATTTATTAACTTACAACAAATGATAACTGTCATTTAAGCATAAGATAACAAACTTCGCTCTTTTACCAAAGACGAAAAAAAAAACTCCAACTTTTTTTGCCTCCTTAATTAATCTAGTTAATGAGAGTATAAGTAGTGGCAAAAAATACGGTAAATGTGGATGAAGTAAAGATTTAAAGATGAAAAGGTTTGAAATGCAAGAAAAAAAAAAAAAAAACAGGAATGATAGATGGAATTTGTTACTCGTGATAAGTAAAGAACAAAAAAGACAATTCATTAATCTTGCAACAGCTTTTTTTTTGCTTTGTTTTTCCTAAGATACTTTTTCAAAAAAAAAAAATTTTTTAAAAACAATTTTTATTTTTAAAATTTTACCAATTTTTAGAGATTAAAAATTAGAAACTAACTTATATTCAATTTCAGCATCGCCTGATTCAGCTTTTATTATTTGTTGTTGTTCTTTTTTCTTCAAACATATTTCCAAGCTATCGATTTTTTCATGCAACTATTAATTAATAAAAATTAGTAAATTAATTCTTAGATATGCTATGAATGTCAATTATATGAAAGAAAAAAATGAAGTTGAAAAGTGTTTAACTAAAAGGCTGATAATTAGATAAGAATTTCACCTGTTGAAAAGCATCAATCCGTACCGCTTTTAATTCGCCCAATTCTTTACTTATCGATAAAATCAAAAGATCTTTTTCAGCTTCCTCATCTTCCAAATATTGAATCCTTAAAAATAAGTTCTAATGATATTGTACTTCATCTGCTGTGTCATATCATTGTATCATTTAATCGATCCCATATGCTTTCTGCCTATCGTTTTCATAAAATTTCAATAAACAAATTAAATTATCGATAAATAATAAGGTAAATGATAAGGTTTGACACAAAATAATTATGTTATGAAAATATTTTCCTTTACTAAATTCATCAGAAACATAAATAATCCAGGATTTTAAAATCAGATATACTCAGCTGACTAATTAGTATCTCAAATTTATCAGTTAATAAAATAAACTATACTGATACCATGTTTTGACCACATTTCCTAATTAAGAGATATATTTACTGTTAAAAAAATTGCATTAACAAAAAGGTGTTGCCTCGTAGAATTCGTAGAAAAATGGATATTTTAATTTAAGCGTATAAAATGATTAAGTTGAAATTAATTTAAGCTTACAAATTGAACAAGTTGAAAGAGATCGAAGAGAAAAGATTGTAAAAATAATGGAAGTGAAATTTAAATACAACGTTTGTTAATGTTATCATAAAATAACAAATCATGAATGGAAAAATAGAAAGTTGCAGATAGCTGTAATATAATTTTTGCATTATCGTTTCATATTATCTTAATTAATTTTTAATTGATTAATAAAAAAAAAACAAACAAACCGTTTTTTAGCATCTTCCAAAATAACTTCTATTTCATTTTTTTGCTCGTTTAATTTATCATATTCACGCTTTTTCTCCTCAATAATTTGTTCCAATTCCTCCATTTTTCCTTTCATTTCACTTTAAACAATGAAAAATTACGAAATTTACTATTTTTAAAAGCTCATTATTGATAAGAATACCTGTTAAAGGTGTTAAGATTTTTGTAAATTATTGATAATTGTTAAAGCATGCATGTTTAAAAAGTAACCAAATAAATTGCCAAAATATTCTACTGGAATATTTTTCACCGTCAATCTAAATTAGTTTCAATGATTTACCTGTAATTATCAATTGTGGCAGCAACAATTTCAGCCTGACTAAGCATTTCTTCCAACTCACAAACTTTTCGCCATCCTTCTAATTTTTCATTTTCCAGAATACCAATTCTGGAATATTTGTCGTGTTAATCCGAAATATTGAAATTTCTTTGAAAATTTCAGGTTAAAATTAAGACCCTCTTTTTTTTTTAACGGGCCTTTCTCTTATTACTAAAATTTTCATCCAATTAAAATTTCTACCACTCTCGATGAACATACTAAACTAAAATATCGAATATCTTTTTAATTTTAAAATTTAGCCATCACTTGGTATTAGCATCTTGTAGCCAATGTTGATGCTCGCCAAGATACCATTGCGCATCGTTCTTGGCTTTTTCTAACTGATCGATGTAATCATTCTTTTGGTTAATTTCTTTACGCAGATCATCTATCAAAGAATTCAAATTCCTACAATTATCCCCTATTAATTCTGTTAAATTTTTTAACAAATCTATTGAATGATTATAAACAAATTTCAATTTCAACTTCGAATTTCATTTCGATGTCAAATTTCATTTTCTTCCATACAAAATTCACACTTTCAATTTGGTTCATTTTTTTTATCTCAAAGTTTTAAAGCAAAAGCTGAATAAATTCCAATTCTATAAGTAACAAGCAATAAGACATTTTTTTTTGAAATTTATTAACTAAAAATTTGAAACTCACTCAGTACTTTGAGGAGTTGAAATGTCGTGAAGACGACGTTCTACGTCATGAAGTTTATTTGTCACATCATCGATAACACAATCTCTCTCTTTGCACACATTTTCCAGATGATTTGTTCTACAACAGAATGATGATTAGTAAGCGTTGCAAATCCATTACTTATACTTAGACATTTGCGCCTTCTGTTACGCTTATAATTTTACTAATCGTTTAATGAAATAAAATTTAGGAATTGTCCACCTGTCATTTGCTTCTTCTAACCATTGTGTATATTCGTCAAGATTTAATTTCAATTCATCGATCTTTTTGTTCAGTTTCTCAATTTCATAATTTTTCTCTTCTAATTCAGCTTTTGGCGACTGTCGCAAGCCATCATATTCCTCAAAACGATAATTTATCAAATTTAAGATCAAACAATTTCTTCCCTTATCAAATTTGCTCATTATTGCTTTTGATAATTTTACGTTTCAAAATTTCAAAAAGATTTAAATTGTCAAGCTTTCAAATTGAATAGTTTTTAAATTTCGAACTTATTTTGAGATAATATAAAAAATTTCGAATCATAACCCCTTGACATTTCAAAATTGTTAAATTGCTTCTTTCCCTTTTCTAAACCTTTTACATCACAATTAAAAAACAAAAAGCAAATTTAAATACGATTTCAGGCTGTTGAGAAAGTGAAAGACTTTCGATTTTCATATTTAATTCCGTATTGAGGTTCATTAATGATTCTCCTTTATTCCTTTCTTCATCTAGCATTGTCTCCAAATCTTTGACCCTAAAAGTTTGCTTAAAAATGGTTGTAAATTATAATTTGAATTGACTTTAATTTTGTGCTTCTCTTTCTAACTAATTAATTAATCAAGAAGCATGACACGTTCAAAACATAATTATTCAATTTCTTTTTCAAGTTAAATCCATTTTTATATTCACTTTCCAAATTAATTCTATTTTTTTTCTCCTAATCATTTGATAACATCGTATATTTATTTTAATTAAATTACATTAAAGCTTAAAACTATTTCATATTAATTTAAATAACATTTCTTTTAGTCTTTGTTTGAAATTTAACTTTTCAAATTTTTCAAATTAAAGATAAAATAATTCTCAAAAAAGAAACAGAAACCTGGCTTGGGTAACATCAGAATATTGTTTTTGCTCGCTCAATTTAAATTGCAAATCATTGATTGTTTGTACCAAATTATTCAACCTTCTTTCTTTTTCAATCAGCTCACGTTCAACTCTATAATAATTTGTTTAAACTTTGCTTAAGCATTAAAGTTTGTAAAATCTTTTTAAAATATTTATCAATTTAATTTTTTTTTTTATTTAACTCTCTAATACAAAGCGCAAAAATACGAACTCTTCCTTTTGCTGCTTCAATTTTTCATACTCATCTCCATTTCCTGTTTGTTCTTCCTGAAAAAATATTTAAGTTTTATTTCATACATCTCCCTAGTAGATATAATCATTCTATACTCCTAATTATAGACAAAATCTTAATTACACGTAAATTTTGGAATTAGCACATTTCGTACCATTCTCGTTGTAAATAATGAAAAAGGATTGAAAGAGCAAATTTTTGTTCCAAGAGATGACATAATGATGTGACATTATGAGAGATTAGTCTTTCTTACCTTTTCTGTCCTGTGTGCTGACTGATATGTTCGTATTTCACTGAAATTGATATTTTCTCCTTTTATAAAGAAATTTTTAATTTCATCATTCATAGTTAAATATATTAAAATTTAAGCTTTTTTTTTTCTCGTTAAACACCTATACTTCATTATTATGTCACTTTTTATTAAAAAAAAATTATCATTGTATATCATATTGTCACTGTGTCACTTTTTCGTAAAAAAAAATTTTGAAATTTCTTACAGAAACAAAATTTTTTTTAAATTTTTTTAAAATAAAATTTCCATAAATGATCTTATTGTTTGAAATTTTTGGATCGATTTTATTTTAAGCTAAAATTCCGGAAGTTCAAATTTATTGGTTTTGATAATTAATTTTCCAGTCTTAAAAAAATCATTTTTTTTTATAATCAATTTTAGTTGTTTGTTTTATTCGCTAAAATTCAAGCATAAATTTGAATTAAACTTATTTCTTGATCAGATTAACAATATAGTTTCATTACTGACTTTTTTAATTTTAAATGAAATTTCAATTTCACGCATCTTTTTTTTTTTCGCAGAATGGAAATTTTTTTTTCCCACTGAATGATCACAATTTATTAGCAATAAAATTCATTCCGATTTTTACAGTTAATTAGTTAATTAATTTATTGTCACCAACCTTTGATCTAAAATATCGCTCTCCCTCTGAGGCTTCTGTATATCGGTTGATGTTTCTGAGTACTTTCCAATAATAAACTGCATTATGTTCAACAAATTATGACTATTTTTATTAATTAACACAACAATGTTTTCATATCGAAAATATTCTTTGCAATACTAAAAAACAAATCCAATTTTAAATTTAATTAATTTTTGACCAAAGCTTCAGGAAAGTATAAAATTTGAAATTTTTCTGTACTGTAAAAACTAACAGATCCATCTTCTCGTTCCTCTTCATCAATCGGAGCTTCACGGTCACCTTCATTAACAATTTGCGCATCTTGCGACGATAATCTACTACCTTTATGGTCTACTGATCTGTTTGAAGTATCCTTAAACGTAAACATGTAAGCATATAATTTAACATTTGAATCCAAGTGTATTGCTGAAACGAGCTTATTTCTCAAATAGTATGGTGTGTAGCCTAAGTATCTATTGAAATAATATGATAAAAATCAGGTGACATGGTTGACAACACTTGCATTCACGGAAAGCCTAGGAAGATCATTTTGTCTCAGGCCTTTTTTCATCTCAGTAAAGATTGCTAGCGCTGCTAAATCACCCTTTACCAATTTATAAATTCAAAAATAGGAAAAAAAAGAAAATCTCTGTATGCCAAATATTTCTGGCCAAATAACATAACTCATACTTGGACGTTTTTAATTGAAAAGATTTGGAAAAAATTAATTTTGCGAAAAGGAAATTTAAACTTTCACCTTTCTATGTGAATGAGGAGACATCCATCGACCAGCTGCAAAATCCAAATTATCAAAATTATCATTTTAATCACACCGAAAAAAGTATCAACTTTTAATTTACAATTACTTCACTCAAATAAAATAGATTTTCCAAATAAAAAATTTTAGTACAAAATTTCGATTTAAATACGATAGGTATAAGTGAGGATGCTTACATTCATCAAAAGCCTAAAAAATGATTTAAAATTAATTTTGAAAAATTTAAATACATTTTATAATTTAAATAAAATATATGTCTGAATATTTTGCATATTCATTTATCCAAAACTTACATTGACCTAACATACGTTGTATCAAATTAACAGTTTTTTCAAACCGTTCCGTAGCAATATCATATTGTCCAGCACCTGTACTACTGAAATGATGACATCCATGTGCTGCAAATTTTAAAATTAAAAAATAAAACTTCCTTTATTAAATCTAAAATAACAAAAATGTTTAAGCTATTTAACAAATATAGACAAATAAATAACTCTTTTGCTAATTTTATCCATTGAAAAAAAAAAAAGAAAAACTTTATTTAGATGTTTAAGTTTATGCTAAAAAAATATTTACAAAAAACATTCCGCCAACTTAAAACTAAAAGAAAGAAAAAATTAAAATTTTTATAAAACATATTAATTACTTGCATTTCACTTCTCTTAATGCTATTATTAATTATAAGAGAATAAGCATAATATTAATCAAAATCATATTGCATTCATTCAAAAATAGATCACTTTAATATTATTCGACAAAAGGGAATTAATTTGTGAATTTTAATTGATTAATTCGTAGTATTCAATTCTTTTCGCAATTTATCTTCAAAATTTAATCTTTTCTGTTAATTACAAATGATATCAATTATAATTATTGGCTTAATTTTTAATTTGAATAGAAATTTTTGACTTTTTAATGTTTGAAATTTTCAGAGCGAATTTTAAACATTCTTCTTAATTCCTTCAATTCAATTTTGAAATAATATCACAATAAGTATAATTATTGTTACGGTCATTATTTAACTGTATTGACCAACAAAATTAGTTAAATGACCGATCAAATTTTAACATTTCCTTTTTTTTCTATTTGTACATTCCTGTTCCAGTGAAGTAATTTGAGTGAAAAAAAATTTTGTTTTTTTTTCTGAATAGCTAACTGATTATTAGGAATGAATTAATTTTTCGAATAATTAGCTTGATCATTCTCAGTATGGCGTGATTTCACTGATCTGATTTCAATTTCTTATCAAATTTAACAGTTTTATAAGTTTTGTTACTGTTAACTGCTTATACATAATGAATATTTAATTTAATTAGTAACAAGCCTTACTAGATTTCAGAATGCGTTTTCAAGATACTTAAGTCTATAAAATATTCAACAAGAAAGGCAGTAAATCATACATCATTCAGTTCAGCAAATTGTGAATAACTTTTGACCTATCCTATATCAAAATTTAAAAATTCAAAAATTTTTTATTCAATTTTAGTTCGTTTATGGGAAATAAAACCTGCCTTCTTTTCCTTTTTTTTTTTTTTTTTTTAAAAAATTTTGTTCTATTTGTTATAGTTCCATTTCAACACATT